AGGTACGAACCCCCCGCTGCCCCCCCCCAGGTACCCCCCCAGTGTGGAGAGCGAGCGCTGGCGGCAGCTGGGACCCCAGTGTGGGGACAGAGCAGGGTGAAGGGGGGTTCAGAAGCTGCCCCCCCTGCTGCCCCCAGGTGTGTTGTTTGGGGGCCTGACCCCCGCTGCCCCCAGGTGTGTTGTTTGGGGGCCTGACCCCCCCCCGCTGCCCCCAGGTGTGTTGTTTGGGCGCCTGACCCCTCTCTGTTGCCCCCAGGTCTGTACGGGCACTCGGCCGTGTACCACGAGGGCACAGACGCCGTCTATGTTTTCGGGGGGCAGCGTTTCCACGTGGAGACGGTGTCGGCCTCCCCTGAGCTCTACAGCCTGCACTGCCCCACCCGGACCTGGAGCCTGCTGGCCCCCGCCCAGGGCCCCAAGGTGGGGCAGTGCCAGGGCAGGGGTGTGGGCATGGGGGGCAGGGGGCTTGGGGTGCAGCAGGGACATGGGGGTGAGGGGCTAAAGTTGTGGGGGATGTGTTTTGGGGGTGCAGCGGGGTTTTGGGGAGTGGCAGGGATGTGGGGGTTTTGGGGTACAATGCAGTTGTGGGGTTTTTGGGGGTGCAGGGCTACAGCAGGGATGTGGGGGTGGGGGCCCAGTTTTTGGGTGCAGTGGGGTTATGGGGCTAGGAGGATGGGGTGCAGTGGGGTTTTGGGGCGCAGCGGGGATGTGGGGGGAGGGCTGACCCCGCTGTCTCACTGACCCCGTGTGGTCCACCAGCCGCTGTCTCACTTCTTCCACGCGGCGGCCGTGCTGCGGGACACCATGGTGGTGGTCGGGGGCCGCACGGAGACCCAGGACTTCACCAGCCACTTGCTGCTTTACCAGCTCAAGTGCAACACCTGGATCCTGCCCAACCAGACGGGTAACGGGGGGACCGGGAGGGAGACCCCCCCCCCAGCCACACAAAGGGGGGAGGGGACCCCAGCCACACAGGCAATGGGGAGTGAGATTCCCCCCCGCTCAGAGTTCCCCCCCACTGCCCCCCTCTGCCCCCATTTCCCATGATAATTCACTGACCCCGTTTCTCCCCCCTGGCCGGGGTGGGCGGGGTTACCCAGGGTCCTTTGCTCTCCCCAGGCCCGGCGGTGGTGGGCGAGGTTACCCAGGGTCCTTTGCTCTCCTCAGGCCCGGCGGTGGTGGGCGGGGTTACCCAGGGTCCTTTGCTCTCCCCAGGCCCGGCAGTGGTGGGCGGGGTTACCCAGGGTCCTTTGCTCTCCCCAGGCCTGGCGGTGGTGGGCGTGCCCATGAACGAGTCGGTGGCCCACGCGATGGCCGCGGTCGGGGGCCGGATCTACGTCTCCGGGGGGTTCAGCGGGGTGGCGCTGGGGCGCATGGCCGTGCTGACGGTGCCCTCCGACCCCTGCCTCGTCTTCCCCGGCCCCGACGCCTGCAACCGCTCGAGTGCCAGCTGCACCTGGTGCCGCGGCAGCTGCCTGTCCGCCGACGCCGCCGACAGGTGGGGGGCTGGGAGGGGGCGTGGCCACTGATGGGGAGGGGGCGTGGCTGTTGGTGGATGGCCAGGGGGAAAGAGATGGGCTGAAGCTATTGGTGGGGTGAGGAAGTAGGGGCGTGGCTACACATAGGGCGTGGCCCTACCAGAAGGGGTGTGGTTGTTGTGTGGGGGAGTGGGGCGAGGTGTAGGGCGGAGTCACAGGGGGGATCTATGTTGGAGAGGGGCAGGCCTGTGGGCTCCAGGATTGCCCCCCCTCCCCCAGGGTCCCTGCCGGAGTCCAGCCCAGCAGGCCCTCCGGGGGGGCAGGGCGGGGAGCTGGGCCCCCCAGGGTGGTTCCAATGACCCCCCCCACCCTTCCATGCCGCCCCAGGTCCTGGGTTCCCGCTGGGGCCGGCTGCAGCGAGCCCTGGCCAGGCTCCGTCCGTTGGTGGCTGGGCTCCTTGGCCAGACCCCAGGGAGACCCTGGCCCCCCCGGCAGCCCCCCTGTGCCCCCCCCGTGGCTCCCCCTCCCCCAGCCATTGTGCTCTGCAGGGCGAGGCGGGAAAAGCTCCGTCAGGACCCTGCTCCCAGCGGGTCCGTCCCTGACCCCTCCTGGCCACGCGCGCCCCATGTCTCTCAGCCTGCCCTGAGAGCAGACAGTCCTCCCCACCCCATGCCAGGGAAACTGAGGCACACAAAGGGCCTGACAATGTTACAGTGACTCCCTGCTTTGTCACATGAGGTGAGTGGGCGGGGAGGGCTGTGGGCCTGGTTCCCAGAGCAGGCGGTGGCTACGGGCAGCTTGGGGGCGTTCGCCAGCGGTGGGGGCAGGGCTGCGGTCCCCCCCGGTTCACTGGTCTCTCCCGCAGACTGGGCTGCCCGGCTGGGGCGGCCGCCTGCTTCCCCACACCGCGGTCGGCGGATGAGTGCCGACGCCTGAGGACCTGCAGTGAGTGTCTGGCCCGGCACCCCCGCACCATGAACCACGGGCTGGTCACCGCGGTGAGTGTGTCCAGCTGCTCCCCTGTCCTCTCCCGGGGGAGCTGGGGGGCACAGATGGGAGCCGGGTGGGGCACTGGCTGGAGGGGGCGCTGGCCAGGGGTGCGGTGGGGACGGGGCTGGGGCACTGGTTGTGGGGTGCGGAGGGCAGTGGGGGAGTGCTGGCTGGAGGGGGCTGGGGTGCTGGCTGTGGGGTGCGG